GGGGGCTGTGGGGCAGGGCTGGGGAAGGTGGCTGAGGGGAGGGGGGGTGCTGCCAGCCCCAGGTGGCACACTGCAGCCAGGTGCAGGGCTGGGGGGTGAGGGCAGGGATGCCCCTCTGCAGGGGGCTTTGTGGGTAAGTGATGCAGGGCATGCATGCTGCCCAGCTGGCTGCCCAGGGGAGGGGGAGGCTAGTATGCAGCCAGCTCTGCAGCAGTGGCAAGAGATGGGGGCAGAGTGGGGGAGGCTCACATGCAGCAGCCACTTACCTGTAGGGCCGTGCCAGCAGAGATGGATGCCGTGTACAAGACCTCCCCGCACTGCTGCAGAGCCATGCGGCTGGCCGCAGGGGTCAGCAAGTGTCGTGGTGGCCAGACAACATGCAGCCATCCCCACCACTATCCTGCACCATGCAGTGGCCACTGCTGCTGCTGCCCTGCAGGTTTCAAGTTTTAGTTCCCCTTCCCCCTTCCATTTTGCAACTCTGTTAGAAAAAAAATCAGTAAGGACTGTCAGACCTAGCAGTCATGATTCTTACCTCTCCCAAGTAGTTAGAGGGCAAGTGGTTTTATATCATTCTTCCTTGGAACCAGAAAGTTTCTTGGGATGGTACTAAGTATCTCTGCTCTTTACGGCCAGGGACAGACATTTAGGAATGGTTAAAAGAAGCCTGAGCCCAAATTGATTCAGTCTTTGCAGTTTAGTCTAACCTGGCTAGGCTAAACCAGTTTGTAACTGCTCAGACACCCCCTCTGGACTGAAAATATGCAGGCAAGTGCCTGCAGTGACTCTGGCTAGAAGCTGGGAGGAGGGGGGTGCTAAAGCAGCCCTCCTTTCTTTCTACAGTGCTGAGCCGAGGGGGGTGCGGCCTGATTTAGGGAGGGGTTCCACCCCTCTTGAGCAGCCCCGCAGGGAGTTGGTAACACAGTGTTTTTCACCCCTAACTCTGTTCATCACCTCATTAAGAAAACAAACAGCTTCTCTCATTAGTTCACACTCTTCTTAAACAACTTTTTCTAAGGAAGGATTACCAGCTATCTGTTGATTAGCTCCAAAGTTACGGTCCTGTCTGCCTTCCGTCTCCCATAGCACAGACTGTAGCCAGCATGTGGTCTGCTAGTTAATGCTGAGAGGTGTTTGTGTAAAGCAGAGGGAGGGGGATCCTTGCTTGAGCAGGAAGTGGTGAAGAGGCAGGGGAGGGGCCAGCTCTGCTCCACTGGAGCAGAGAACAGAGCCTTGCTCAGAGCTGCAGAGCAACTAGGATGCTGGAGGACTCAGATTTAATTTAAACCAAGAAGGGGTCTCTGACAGACATCACATAAATTGGTTTGACCCAAATCAGTTAAGTCTGCTACATTCAACCAAGCTTATCTCAAACTGGTTTCACCCATTTTCAAACTGGTTTATGTGCACTGAACATCTGTTCTGTTACAGGTTTAAACCAGTTTCTGTGTAAAGTCTGTTCCTAGCCTACAGGTTTAGCATAAGTTTACAAGGAGTTGAGCTAACACCAGGAAACTAGACCATTGGTACATACTGAACCCGAGACTAGGTTCAGGACCTCGGGAAATGTGAACCATTGTCTGCTAGTTTTTACAGGTGTAGCCTAGAAGGAAGATTCCACCTCAGACAGTTCTCCATGCAGTCAATCTTTATTATAGCAGTATTCTCATATTCACATCAAGTACATAGAACTTTTTGCCTTTTTATATAATACAGAGGTTTTTTTTAAATAACTTTACACAGAAATAGTTTTCTTCAATCTGAATTTCAGCTATCAAATTTTTTAATATGTTTTCTTTAAGTCTCCATGCTCTCTAACCAAACTGGACAATATTTCCCATTGTACAAATTTACATGAGAAAAGACTCCAAAGTACAAATGACGGGACTAGAGCAGGAAGGGGTAAAAAAAAGTAAAGGGGAGGGAAATAAGCGAGAAAAATAATTTGTATTGGCAATTACTGTGGACACTGGGGAGGGAAAGAAGGGAGTTGCCATGATCAATGTAACAGAAAACTGAAAATAAACATTTTCTTATGAGTTAAAAAATAAATACAAGTTTTAAAACAATTACTCCATTGTAGTTTTTCAAAAGCAGCTATGGAAATCTACTAACACAATTGTTTTCTTAAGTAACCATACTAGACCTTAGACAAAGCAGACTCGTGAGACCCTCACAAACCTCTGGTGGTAAAAAAAGAAAATACAGCTTAAAGGAATGTTGTGTTAGCACAGAGTTTAAATTGGGGAACATACATTTCATTGCACTATGTAAAAAGAAATAAAAACTATAGAAATTTTCCCTTTCCTCTCTTGCCTAGAGTACTCTGCTCCTCCAGCAAGCCTGTGTATTATGAGATAATGCCATCTCCTCCTCTGCTGTGTTTAAGCAAGCCAGCCATCTTACTTTTCCCCAGGGGGTCCAATTACTGCATGCTCCACTTTCACAAACTTAATGAAACATTGATTCTGAATCCTTTGTGGATAAAAGACTTTGCACCTTTCCTAACCTAGGAAAAGCAGCATGCTTGAGTGAGGAAAGGACAGACTGTGCAACTAAACGCACAAGAGATTACAAACACTTATACCTAAATTCCTTCAAAACGAGATGGAGGACTACAAGAAAGCAGTGGCCAGCCTGCATGTGCGTTTTGACCCAAGGAACAGAGGACCCAGCAGGAAGCTGATGGCAATCTTCAGTTTTTTATGGAGGGTAGGGACAGGGACCCCTCTGCCCCATACAGGAGCCCAGAGCTAGACACAGTGCCAATTATATGCATAGGAAGGTAGGAGGAAGAATCTTACTATTCTAGTTCAGCTGTTTTAGCCCAATGGCTGGAGTAGCTCTGTACTATAGGAGAACCCATGCAACAGACTCTCCTACCTCTCTTGCTCATTGCCAGGGTTTTTTTTTGGAGTCTGCTCCAACAGAGTTCCCAGGATTACAGAAGGAAGGGCAGGTTTTGCCTCAAGTCCTGCTGAGAGAGATTTTATTGTTTTTTAAAGACATATTTAGATAGGCAAGGACTTTTTAAGCTGGTATCTTTTATTGAACCAACTGTGGTTGGGATAAAGTTAGACAAGCTTTCTAAATGCAAGACTTTCTTTAGGTCTTACAAATATACATAAATTTAGATGAGCACAAATTAAATCAGGCAGACATAAGGCAATATATGCAAGTTGGCCACTGTCAGGTTTTAGTCCTGTGAGGAAAAAGGGGGTAGGGTGGAACACAAGGCTCAGGAAGGAACAATGTGCATGTCTTGTTTAAACAGTTCACAGCTTTGAATAAAAAGCACATTTATTGCACTTATATACTTTTTTTAGATTTAGACAAAGTTATTTAAATTATACCCCCAACCTCACAACCCCCCACCATCCCAGAATAACCCTCCACCCAAGTTTGGTCCATTTTGCCCCTCAAGCCTCATCATCTGCACCCACAGACGGTGAGCTTCATTGCTTGTCATTATGTCCTCATGTTCTACTGTATTCCCAAACACACAAAACAAATAAACTGGGTTCAAACAGAGTGAACACACAGATGCAACACAGAATGACAGTTGTCAAAATAAAACCAACCATTATTTAAAAACCAAACGAATATGGTACACATTCTTCTGCTTTGTATTTTACTAACTCAGAAATAAGTTGCACAGGATTATTCTCAACTACAGCTGATGTAGGTAGCCAAACAAAATGACTGGGCAGTATTACGTAGGTTGCAACTGAGTGAGGATGGGCTGAATATACTGCTGCTTTGACAATATAAACCTAATGCATAGGTAGTTTAAAGAAGTCCACAAGTATTCCCACCTGCCTACTCCCTTTAATAAAATTACAAAGGGGCGGGGGGTTGTTGGTATTTGTTTTTAAGTAGGAAAGATGCTATTTTCTTAAGAGTTCTTTTAGTGCAGAGGTTGGGAAGGAAAAAGTATTCCAGATACTTCTTGAACTTTTAAGTAAAACGTTAAAAAAATTACACCCTGATCTGTAAAGGAAACTAAAATGGGGTTTTAAACCAGACTGTCATTTTGTATCAACTGTGCATTTAAAATTGCATGTGTCTGTGTAACAGAAGCACATCCAAAAGTTTTTCCATCAAAAAAAGGCAGAGAAGAAACTTTGAAAAATGTTTAAGAACAAAGACCATTCTCTTTTCCTTACACACCAACATGAAAAATGACACTAGTATATATGTACTGCCAGGAGCCTACACAGCAGTTTGAAAACTGAACAAAATACATCTAATTCAAACCTCTCTCTTCCCCCAACAACACACCCAAGATTTTCCTAGGCAAATGTGAAATTACAGAATATAGGATCATTTAAACAGTAGCTGATGGAGAAATTTAACAACTCAACAAGAGGTCTGAGGAAGAACCCAAGATGTGTGCTGGTATTTCATAAGACAACTATCCCCCAGACCTGGAAATTAGTTGTACACTGTGATGTACACAGCACAACTGCTTATACAAATTCAACCTTCTCCTAATCTAGATCTCACATCTCATGCACTGCCTCTTTCAAAGGTGCTGTGGATGTTTACTGCTTTTAGCTCTCCTTAGAACTTTATATTACATTAATAAGCTGTTTGGTCCTTGGAAGGACCATTGTAAAAAACAAAACAAAACACACATTTTACTTTCAGAGTAGCTGCAAGTTGCAGATTTACTCAAAGACAATCATGTATTCTACAAACTTTATTTTTGAATCAAACACCAGGCATTTCTATGAACCATCTTCTACCACCCTCCCCCACTTTAGTTAAGTTTACAAACTACAACTTTTGCTTAGGTGCATACAAAACTACTGCACTGGAATTAAACCAAAGTCACTGCTCCAGTTACAAAGCACCCGGTTATGTATTTCATTGCATTCTTAAGTCAGAAAGGCACACTATCATTTGGCAACCTGCAAACGTAATGTTTTGGGTAGCCTCATATCTACCATTTAATAGGGTTTATTGGCATCTTCCCTTCATATGGAAAGTATGTGCTACCTTTCACTTCCTCAGTTTACTCGCACCAGTTTCTCCATCTGGCTCTTTCAGAAATTGTACACACCCCCTTTATAACTACTACTACTGTTTTGTACTGCTCATGGTGCTCACTTACTAGCTTCTATATTTGCATCTTTGAAACTTAAATGCAAACAAAATGGGTTTACCTCAACTGCATCTGCTCCTGCCTGCAATGAGTTAACTTGCCAGGTGAGAACTAAAGCAACAAAGAAGGCTATTTTTAATCTGTGCGCCAAAGCAAACAGACTTAGTAAACCCATGCAACTAATAAAGTGTAGTAAATAAAACACCTCTGATAAACTAGAATGTATAACAAACAAACAAAAAAAGCAAAGCCATTAGCATTTTTGAAGTGATGCCACTTCATCATGTTCATTCACACAATTCATCTTCATCTGCACTTTGTAGGTACCTAAAAAGTTAGACTGTAATATTACATCCTGGTATTTTTTCAATGGACGGAAACACACTTGCCTACAGTACTCTGAATAGTTTGTGCTACAGAAACTGCTCTCACAGTCAAGGAGGAAATACTCCACAGAAACCTATAAGCTGGAAAGGTGCAAAATGTTTGCTCACTAATTCAACCCTCCACTGACATCTTTAATATCTGTGCAGAGCATCAGTAGCTCTTCAAGCCCAAGGTTTTAGGGGCCTTTGAGTAAAGAGAGGGCTCCTTGTCATCCAAGTGTTCTGTAAAACAATCCATACATTTTCAGACCAATACAAATACAAAAGCATATTTGTGTATGATCTTCAGTGCATTTTCCTTCTGAGGGATCTGTGTAAAGGCATGATCTTTAACAGGTCACACCCTCCTACTGTTTATTCATTTCATGTCATAACAGGCCAAATTTTATCTTATAATGTGCAAACAGCAGCTGTTACTGACTTCAGTGGAAGTCATGGTACAATGGCAGTGGCAGAATTTAGTTCAAAATACCAGTAACTGTCAGGGTATTTTATATATGATTTCAGGTAAGAAATAGATAAGCAGAAGCAGATTATGTAAAAGACCTGCAACAGCTTCATGAAAAATAAGAGCAGCAGAACCAGGCTCAACCTAGAGCCAGTCAGCACTTAGTTAATGCTGAAGCATGCTTAAAAGTCTGTGTTCACACTGCTTGGCATTACTATTGCCATGGTGCTCCAGCTCCAGAGAAATATAGTACAGAGAAAAAAAAAATCTTTCACCAAAAGGGACATGGGATAGATCATGTGACAGGTCTTCTCTCTTTCCAGGTCCCCGCATGTGCTGGGGGTGGAGGGAGGAACAGGGGACAGGACATTGACTCCACCAAATCTTGGAGTGGGACTACAGGTGCTCCCAATAGTGGCTCTAGAAAAGGTTTAACTGTATGCTCAGATATTACAGAGCTGAAAGCAGTGTGCTTGTAAGTGTACAGGTAATTTCACAGTTACAAAATATTTAATAAATCTTCCAAACCATGGCATGCACATTATATCCTAGTGCATCAAACTGGAACATCAGAGAGGAGCTGAAAGCTGCCTGATGTTAGCCAAGGGACCTCAGTTTATTTACTTATTTTTAAGTTTGCTATTTCTTGCCCCCTGGCTGCTATTTGGGGCTTTCAATTCACATCTCTTCCTCTCCCGCTGTTTACTATACATTTGAAGGGCACCTTTTAAGACTTATCCTGTTTTCATGCACAACAGTCTTAGTGATTTCTGAAGGAACAGAAAAAAATGCAATTATTTACAAACCAAGTTCCCTGGAATGTTCTGCATGAGGATTAAGCTGATCTTAATACAGATGGACAAACACGAAGTATTACAAATATATGAAGGAAAAGAAAAGGTAATGGAAATGCATCCTCAAAGGATTCCTCTAAACAGCAGCTAAACAGTTTGCACGTTGCTCAGGAGAAAGTCATTAAAAAACACCCCAACCTCTCTCATGTGCTACTTCTAAAGTGCTTTGCAAGACAAGGATAGCAACTTTCCTTGTGCTTTTCCTATGGGTTCAAGAAGCATACTGTAGGCTGATGGGTAATGAAAACATTGCAAAATAAATTCATTTCAAACAAGGACACAAAAGAATTCTTTACTGCTATATTTTAGCAGAAGTACGTTGTCGCTAGCATGAAACTGTGAAAGGGAAACTAGCATATTTAACAAGTACTCTGAAATGACCATTTTTTAAATGACCAACAACATACTTGCTCTAGCTAGATCTTCTTTCAAGAACACAGGTAATTTCTGGCATGCCCTACATTTACAAACTCTGTCTCACAGCCCATAAAAATGCAGAAGAATGAGGGGGAAGAAAAAAACCCAAACACTGAGCAGCAGTATTTTCATCGTCTTGATGTTCATGTTTGCTAAACTTCTCAACTGTGTTCTGACAACTCTGTTCCTAGCCTCCTTCCACCTTGGTTCTCCACTGCCGCAGACAATATTGTGTTCCGATACTGTGCTAAAAGAATGCATTATGATTTCATTGGACTATGCCCCGCTGCTCGCCACACTGGAAAGTAGACACTACTACCACACATTTCAATTTGTATTAACCTCAGGAAGGAAGTAAAATCTAACAGCATCTAAAGACCCACAGCAGAGAAGAAGAAAATTGTGCTTTTTTGTTTTTCAAATGCATCCTGTACACATGAATTCTATTCATGTACCAACATGAATTGTATCATTCTCATAGTGACTTAAAGTCACTCACTATTGCTGTTGCTAATGTTTGTGGAATTAATATGAATACACAGTATTTCAGTTATATTTTCCCACTTCAGATTAATCAGGTCCCCTTAACCCCAGTAAATATTTATTGATAAGTGTAATAGACCGTCTGTAAAACCATAACATTCCATGGTTTTAAAACCATACTCCATAACTGATATGTATTCTTCCCTACGTCCAGGAACTCTCTTCTGTACATAGGAAAGGCCCTACTAACTCTCCTAGTTAAGGAAGAAGCAGCATCTTCAACCAATACACATGTAGTTAGTGGGAACATTACATTTATATACATCTAACTCCTTCATTGAAGCATCATGATTTTATTCACAAAAGGGAAAAGCTGCCAATTAATGGGGTCAGTTCTCCTGCCTCAAGAGTGGGATAAGCCTCAAACTAGAAGACTTCTGCATGAGTCTGTATTTCTTTCTAATTGGCTTGACTTGCCTCAGTACAAATAGTTTACGTTCAATACCACATATATCAGAGATCACATCACAAAATAGTCTACTAGAGGTAAACAATGTGCTGAACTTTATTTTTTTTCCCTGACTAGGTAACTTGTTAAAAAGCTACCAACAATTTAGATACCAGGTTTGGAGGACAGGAAAACAAGGAAATTTAAAGTAGATACCGCCACCTTTATTTTAGTTTGCAAACTGCAGGAAAGGGAAAATGGAGGAAAGGGTATTAAAAGGGAAGAAAACAATGAACAGAGAAGAGGTCAGTGTGGATCCAGCAAGTACCGTTGTTATTTTTTGTTTTTCAAATCTAACATCTTGCCACTGAGACAAGATGTTCCACGTCTGTACACACATTTACCAGAGGACACCGAGTAAAATTAGGATAAAAATAAAAATCCTTTAAAAACAAGCTCTCTAAAAGTACCAAAAACACAGATTTTTGGAATGTCTCATTCTAGGGTTTGGGGGGTTGTTTTGTTTTTTTGTTTGTTTGTTTTCGTAATATTTCCATTCAATTCAACCTGAGAAAGTTTTGTTTTTCATGTTTATGAAAATATTATGTATTGGTAAGGTACCTGGCATTAACCTGCACCCTCATTTAAAATAAAACTTTTAAAATAGGTACATACACCATTCATAGTCTGTCACAGTTCTACAGATGCTGGATGCGGTAGCATCTCTGATGGATACAGTGTATCAGATGATACAAGCCCCCCCCCCAAAAAATAAGAGGAAAAGTTGCTACAGTTTTTGTTAACTTGAGTTTGTTGCTGGACCTACGAGAGGAGGAGCTTTCTAATCCTTCTGAAAGATGACAGTTACTGGAAATGGGAAGGGTGTGGGAGTTGAAATAGGTTATAAAGTAAATCTGAAAAAAAGATGCAGCAGCATCCCCTTTTCCTTCAGATTAACCTCTTCCCCAGGCTACTACCCACCACTCATAATATCCAATTTGACTGGGATAAAAGTAAAGAATTTAGACCAGTTGAAATGTCTGATGTTTGGGTAACATGAAAAGGGGATACTGCATTTTGTCCCATAAATCAGTAAAGCATACCAGGAAAAAAATCAGAACGGAGAATGATTCTTTTGATTAGCACTCTCATCAGATGTTCTGCCTCTGATGATTCATTTTTAGAGGGAGAAAGCTGACCAGCAGACCATCCAAAGCAGCAGTTCCATCCCTTATGCCTGAGCACCAAAGTCAAAACATGTGTGCCCTCTCCACTCTCCTGGGAATGATGCCAACAGTACAGGCAGCCACTGCAGGTCTCCAAATGCACGTGGTCTTTTGTATTGAAGGAGAAAAAATGGCAGCAGAGAATTCTGGTTCCTAAAAAGATCTTCCCCCCTTGTGTTGGACTGGCAGATCCATTCTGCTCCACTCCAAGCTTATGGATATCTTTTCTCAATTGCTTTAGGTTTTGAGGAGCAGAATAGAGTTCTGATGTTAAGAAACAGTAGGAACACAAGACTTAAGTAACAGAGTGGGTGCTGCCATGGTGCTGTGGCTACTTGAACGCTGCAAATTCTCCTGTAGAGGGAGGACAAGACCTTGGTTTAAAATCTCAAATATCAACTAGACAGAGATTTTCTCAAGTCTAGTTGAACACTAGACTGAATATCAAAGATATTAAAAAATGCAACAGTTAAAAGTTAAGGCGCAGAAAGCTCCTAACTGTAGTGACAGAACATCAAGCATCTTCAGAACTTATTTTATGGAAGTAAGATTTCTTAAAAGCAAGCTGCGACCACTGGCCCAGAGCAGAGGTCTGAAAGTTCACGGGAAGGGCCTTTCATCAGGCGTTTTAAAATTTAAAAGTTTCATTTGAATTTAAATTTCTAAGCTTCTTACCTTCAGATTAATGTCCCTTGCTGGACAGTGACAATTGTCATAAGTGACAGTTTGGGTGCTCAGTGTCAGACTGTAAACTAGTTTCTATCCTGACTGAAAACTGATTTAACAACAGAACTATTCTGATTACGTATTAACCACTAAATATTACACATTCAAGTTCCTTTAATTATTAAACCAGGATTAAAATACATTTTAAACTAGTTTATAAACCAAGATCACGGGGAAAAAAATCAGACGTAAGTTTGTGAATTCTCACTAGCTCAAAAGTAGACTGTTTGTAGTGCATGCACGCACTAAACATGGGAAGCACAAGAATCAGTACTTGATTTATCTTGGCTTTGAAACAAGCCCCAAAAGCTATTCTGGAATCATTTAATATGCAATACACATTTATATAGTGCCCTCCCACAAGATGACAATTTCTCTTCACACACATGTTTTGTTCAAGCCTCCTCAACCTATGAGGTAAGTGATTATGTCCATTTCAAAGGTGAGAAAGCCAAGGCACAGTGATTAAGACTGTTGCCTGTAGTCGTTCTGGAAGTCTGTGACCAAACCTAGAACAGAACCCAAACCACATGTACTCCTCTCTAAACCCATGTTTTAGCCTACAGGCTATCCTCCCCACCAATAAAATTGAAGCCACACCATCTCCCTTTCCCAAATCACTAAGATGTCCTATGAGTGAGGAAAAGAAACCAGGTTACAGTCTCCATTGCTAGCTTCCCATATTATTTTGGGGGTAGTCATGCCCCTTCCTGAAAGATGATACCAAACAAAGGAACTTTCAAAACTCGGTTCTAATAAAGGCTGATTGGGAAATGCATAGAACATAGTCTTTGGTTTGCTCAGCAAAGGCACTAGAATATTGTTACATTCAAACGACCGCTCTATCTTGGTGTCCTTCCAATCAACTCTAAAACAGTCCATATCATCTAAAGAAAAAGAACATATAGTACATTCTTATGTTTATACTCAAATCATCAGAAATAAAATCAGAAATATTCACAAATAGCTTTGAAAAATTTACATTAGTTCAGTTTAAAATGACACTCGGTTGCCACCGGGGGTAAAATGGCCTGTTTCACAGAGGAAGGAACCAAGAAAGTTGACTAGGAGCCTCCATGAGAACAGGAAAAGTGCATATAGAGTCTGGTAGAAATAGTTTTAATAGGAAAGCACATGCTATAAAAGGCACATGAGCATATATATAAAGAAGCCAGGGCATATGAGAGCCTCTAGAAGGTCTTAACTAGGAAAAAAGGGTCATGGGAAGTGGGTGGCTCATGGTCTCTAAATGAAGGGGGTTGGGATACAGAAAAAGTATTAGGCTCAGATACCTACAGGAAGAGAGAGCCAAGTGGCATACTGTAAATTACTAATAAACATGCATCTTGCTTGTTAATGGTGGCATTAAGTAGAAGCAATGCAGAAAGTTTCACAGCATTTATAATTTTTCCAAACTACCCCTTTACCAACTGGAGAGTAAATCCTTCAGTAGAATTTCTGTCATCCTTCATTTGGCAAAATTCCAATATGGCTTCTATAAATGCTTGTACTTTTCTGTGCACCAACATCCTACGTGATGCCAGAACAGCAAGAAACTTGAAGGGTGACATTTCATTCTGTGCAGAGGGGTATCATAACTCCTATGTACCACACAAGCCTTCAAATAAGGTTTTAAAAGGGGTTAACTGGGTCTCTAGTAGTATACAGGCATTATTCCAGCCTTCTGCACAGAAACAATTTTCACCTACAGAACAGCAATACAGACATTACAGCAATGCTCTAATCACTGCTCCCCTTCAAATCTTCCAGCAATGCAACTGTTGATTTAAAGTGAGAAGAGGGATTGAGGGGGGCAAGGGGCAGGCACAAGAGGAAGAAAACTGTCTGGACAGCATCATACCCAGTTATAACAATTTAAAGTTAGTCAACTTTGGTGTCTGATCAGCTTAGCAGTGTTCCTGTAATCTGGCAACATAACAAACATGGAAGTAGAAGCATGTTCTTTGGTAGTTCCAGTACTCTGTAGATGCACAGAACTGAAAGGTAATCCTATTAAAGTATTTATCCACATATTCAGGGTACTATGGTGATAGTTTAGTAGCCCTACAAACTGAGAAAACCTATAATCTGATATACTCAAAGTGTATATTCTTGCCGCTCTCTAATCTAACTTGTCATCCCTTAGTAGAAAGCTCAAGGTTTTGTGTTTTGTACTTGTTTAAAAGGTAGAAAAGTGAAAATAAAATATCACCTCAGAGACTTATTTTGAAGAATGACATTCATGCTTAGCTACACTTTCTAAATGTGTTCTACTTAATTTACTTTTCAGGCTACTTCCTAAATTGCTGATTAAAGTTTAATTTATAAACAAGAGATAGCTCCCTCATTACTCATCTTGTCCTTCTGCCCATTTCTGTTAATAAGTTTAGCTTTTAATTGTTGTTTAGGGATTTCAGAAAATGAAAGGAAAACCAAGAGCAAGAAGATGACGACAGGCCTAAGAGAGGTCAAAGTATTTCAGTTAGTAATGACACAGGGTAGATGAAAAAAGTCATTATTTCAGTCTGTCTTAAGTGTAGTGAAGTTACTTTTCTAACTGGCTGATCTTTTAACTTTTAACTTTCTGGGGTAAATCTGATCTCAGACTGAATCTTAACAAGTGAGTTTAGATGCCCCACCACCCCCCTGTAGTGGGAAGTAATCTAATTATTTTTCCCTAAAATGTGATACTGTATATAAAAAGATGCAACAGGTCTTGTTCTTTGGCAAATGGCTTTACACATCCATACTGCAGGAGTCATCTGTCCAGCCATGTGTCCACAGAACCTTACTGAGCAGTAGTTGGCAGTTAGGAGGCAATTCCTTTATTTCATCATTGCACACATGGAAAACAAACTCCCTACTCTCTTTACCATGAGAAGCCCTGCTTGTACAAGGACTCACTTGAACTCAGACAAGCCACTATCCTCCTCTCAAAGCCCAGGAAACATGCTGTCAGTTGAAGTAAGCTTAGATGGGGTTCTACAATCTGCAAGGACACAAGATCTTCACTCCAGGAAAGAGTGAATGTTAATCTTCAGTTAGCACCAAAATTCTGAAGCGCCCTGCATGAATGGGAACATTTTGATTTAAATCTTGGTGCTCGATAGGATTAAATAAAAAGAAGTTTTTCTTTACCATATAAGAACAGTTTCAAATGTGTAGTTTGGACCACCTCTGCCTACCCTCAAACAGAACTGGCTTTGACATGCAATGAACAAATCCATTTCCAAATGCCACACAAAATTTGAATGACTTCAAAATCCTAGATGTGCTTCTTACACTGTAGATCTGATCTACCACTATTTGAGAGTGGCATTCCCTTCAAGGTCCATACCTACATTTCCATCACAGTAGAGAATTCATGATCTATTGAGGGAAAAACCTCCGTATCACACTCAGACACCTTTGGCTAGGTAACATGTAATTTTGACATATCTCTGTATTTCAGCTAAGGCTGCATTAGAAAGGTGGGGATTAACTTGAACAACCACAATTGTTAATACCTAAAAGAGGCAGTGGCTGAGAATTAGCACTTGACTTTGTTTGTATATTGGTCCTCCATATGGACATGCTAAGACGGGAAGCCTAGATCTGGCCAAACAGCAATATATTTATATTTTATAAGAAGCCTGTCACCTAGCTTCTTTTCCTAGACAGCATATGAGATTAAAAAAATCTACATGTCTAAAAAGGATGCA